GGTAGAGTATCTGAATACTTGTGCAAAATTTCTAAATGATTTCGAATTGAATCCCAAAATTAAACCCAATTTTGTTATATTGCAATGGTGTAAATATCATTATATTCACATCATGTGCAAAGATTTGGACGCTAGATTGGGTAGAAATCATGTGTTAAGGCCTTTATTAAAGAATGCCTTCATAGCAGCATATAATTTCACTACTATTAAAGAGTGTCAAGAATGGTTTAAACATATCTTCATTGTTTTACTTACGCCATATAAATGTCATAATTTGGAAAAAAGCCTTAAAGTATTGACACAATTTTTAATAAAAGAAGAAGAAAATAAGAAAAACAGAAAAAAGAACTATATTATTTCAGAAAATGAAAAAAATAGATCCATTAGAATCTATTGCGGCTAGTAGTCCATTCCGAAAAATGTTTCTTACAATCTATAATGAAGTTGAAACCGATATTAAAAATATAAATATGGGTCATGAACTAAATAAATATCGTAATGATCAAATTTGTACGTTTATATTAAACAAATACTGCGCTTTTATTGTTCTTTGGACAAATGTTATGGGTATTCACGTTGATCCATCAGGAGAACATATAAGCAATGCTCCAGTAGAATTTACCTACTTTTTGCAAAAAAATATAATTTTACCTGAAAAATCTGTGAGAGCCGATGTCTTTGTTAATACAATGAGAATAAGCTATTTAAGTTCTTTGAAAGAACTACGTTATAAATACAAGATGTTTGGTCCAATGGACAAAGAAATTGAGGATACACTCACAAGTTTAAATGAATATAATGTAGTTGATGTTCAAAGCTCACAACGAAAAGAACATTCATATATTACCTCAACACCTATTGAAAAAAAATAGATAACTCTCAAGCTTTAAGTGTTGAGTTAATAGAAACGGATCATAGTTATTCAAAACATAGTTTTGAATCCGATCCCGAAGAGCAATGGGGAAAAACAGACCCAAAGAAAAGAAAATATTCGACCTAAAATGTTGCTTGCTGCGAAGGAAAGCAAAAAAATTTCAAATATTCTTAAAAATATTGAAAAACCTAAAAAAACTTATATAAAAAGAACAAAATAAAATCAAAAAAAATGGATATAAAAAATAAAATTAAATTAGAAAAAGCCGAGGTGACTAAAAATAAAAATAAATCAAAAAAAACCGAGGTAAAAAAAGAAGAAATTAAATTTGGAAAAACATTGATTAAGAGAGAATCGTTCTTTCTTTTCAAATTTGATTTACTTTTTTCTGAAATTAATAATACCACAGATACAATTAATATGGGGTATTATGATTATTTAGAAACATCCGATTGGGATTCATTAAACAATATGGAACAATTAACAAATTTCGTTTTAGACGCTTGCCTTTTAGCGGTAATAAAAGAAAGTAGATTAATTGATTGCTATTGTTTACCTTGTCAGACTAATAATATACAGTTTGACAAGTTGAATTTATATATACAAAATCAACCTGAATTAATATTTATACCTATTTTGTGTTCAGGTCATTACACTTTATGTGTTCTTAAATTCTCTTCACATGAATTTATATATGTAAATTCATTACCAAGTGAAGGTGAAGGAAAACGGCTTTATAATTGTTTTATAAGCACGTTTGAAAATAACAAAAGTTTATGGCAATACCGACCAATACTGGAAAGAGATTTGCAAAATGATGGTTCTAGTTGTGGAATATTTGTTTTAATGTATGCTTCTAAAATTCTAAAAAATGAACCTTTAATAAAATTAAATCAACCAAATATTGTTAGAAATGATATGAAAAAATTGTTGTTAAAGCATCAAGGTGACAAAACAAGATTTTGTTGCCATTGTGGAGGTTTTAATAGAAAAAATGAGGATATTTGTGTATGCAATGACTGCGAATATTATATTTGTTCAAATTGCGCACATAAACATAAGAATAGTGAATCTGATCGTTGCAAAATTATTGAACAAAATATATTGTCAATATAGATATTAAACGAATTAATAATTATTATGTAAATATTAAATTTTATAAAGAGGTTAACCAGTCTTATAGATAACTTGTATAAATCTATTATTCACATAAATAGTCATATGTACATATATTGTAGCAATATCTGTGATAACAATGCAATGCAATTGTAAACAAATATGGTATTTAGGCCTATTGGGGATGCCAGCCATATTAAATAATTGGCAACGCACATCGCATAGTACCTCATGGGTTGTGTGGAAAACTATGTATTTTTTCTGGAGTTTTTCTATTCTATTTCTATTTTTTGCAACTTATTTAGATTATTCCAACTGTTTTAACTGAAACAAGTAAGAGTGCTATATTCGGCTGTGCCGAATCTTATATACCCTTCACCATAGTGTATTTAAAAAATATAAATTTTATAAAATTTAGATTTATGTACCTATTTAATTTTCCCGATTATATCATTATTATAGCAATAGCAAAACAAAATGAACAACAACAACGCTAAACGAAATAAACACTCAAAAAACAAAATACACAAGGCAGTAAAACCAACAGACATCCAAACATACGAAACGAAATACAAAAAAAAACAAGAACAAAATACACAAGAACAAAATACAAAATACATAAGTATTCGAATTTAGGTAAACTATGAAAAGAAACCAAATTGAATAATATATTTTGTGTGAAAAATAAATAAATTAATTTGTTATATTGTCTAGATAGTCCTTAGTTTTGATATCACGCCCCTTAAAACTTGAAAACTTTACATTTACTTAAATTAGTTGTGCTTTTTTTTAAAAAAGTCCATGAAACTACTTCACAAAAGTATGCGAATTTTTCCTGTATTTCATATTTGATCATATTATACGATACACAAATTCTAGAATCGCATGGTTTTATGCTTAATTTTGTTTTAAGGGGTAACTATCAACCGCATGGATATATTTTTGACCCATTTGGTCCACAATTTTGGGGGATTTGTACCCTCTTTTCATGTAATATCATTAAAATGGCAATTTTTGGCTATATTTGTAATGTTTTCACCCTTTTTCCAGAGATAAAACCAAAATTTAATATTGGAATTTAATAGAACCCATAGGGTATCTAAAAATAATATTTTTTGTTATAAGGATCTGTACTTAAACGTTCCAAGATGAATTTTTGGTATCGTTTTTCAGTTTCTAATTGAATTATCTGGACCATAAGTCCCTTTTCGTACCTCTAGGGACGATATTTTCCGACAAAGTTGTCTAGTGTATATTCATGTACATATTGGCACTAATATATTTTAAATTTTCAATATATTATAGCGGGTTACAACCCCAAAACATGCCTTAACAAAACGTCATCCTATATAGTAGATTTCAGTTTTTACTACTCGTAACTTTCACGCTTATGTTGCCCGTTACAATAACACTGTAAGTCCAAAATTTTGGTTTTAATTTGATCATAATAAATACTATTTAAACACATATCAACATTTTTGAGTTAGATCATAATGCCGTGCAGCATGGAGGCCATTGGTATATAAAAATAATGATTTTACTATTTTGAATGGTGTTTCTTCGAGGCATGTTTTGGAGTTGTACACTTCCACAACACATTGAAAACTTAAAATGTATAAAAGCTGATATCTAAAAGAATATATACCAGAAAACTTTTCCCGAAAATAGTTGATCCTAGTATTATAAAAATGGACTTAAGTTCCAATATATTGAATTAGCGACAGAAGAATGATCCGAATAATTTATCTTGGAACGTTTAAATACAGATTCTTGTAACAAAAAATATTATTTTTAGATACCCCAAGGGGTCTTTTAAGTCCTAATATCAAATTTTTGTTTTATCTCTGGAAATAAGGAGAAAAATTTACAATTATGGCCAAAAATCGCCATTTTAATGATATTACTTGAAGAAAGGTACAAATTCCCCAAAATTGTGGACCAAATGGGCCAAAAATATATCCTTTCCGTGGATAGTAACCCCTTAAAACAATATTACGCATAAAAACCATTCGATTCTAAAATTTGTGTTGCGTATAATATGATCAAATATGAAATACAGGAAAAATTTGTATACTTTTGAGAGGCATTTCATGGACTTTTTTAAAAAATCCACAATTAATTTAAGTCAATGCAAATTTTTCAAGTTTTAAAAAGCGTGATATCAAACATAAGGACTATCTAGACAATATAACAAATTAATTTATTTATTTTGCACACAAAATATATTATTAAATTTGGTTTCTTTTTATAGTTTACCCAAATTCGAATAATTATGAGAGACACTGTATGTAGGTATATAAATACAAACACTTTTTTTCGGTAATACTTGGAAATAAAAGTATTGTATTTATGTATACAAATCAGGATCAAAATAAATAACAATGAATGGTTGAAAGAAAACGTTATTAAAAGTTCTTTTTAAATGTTCAGTTTTATCTTTTGTAATTATTTTTATAATTTCATTGTAATTAAACTTGTTTTTACTTAATTTACTTGAAAATTAATTATTAAATAAATCAAAAAAGTAAGGACAGTAAATTTTATATAAAATTTAGAAAATATTTAAAACTATAAATGAAAAAAAAACACAATCTTCATAAAAAAGTTACTATAAATTCCATTCACGTCTTTGCCACAAACCATCCTCGGTGACTTCGTCACTTCCTTTAATGGTCGCTTCGCACAAATTAACCACGGCCACTACATTATCACTGACCACTTTACATTGCAGCGAAATTGGTATCGCCCACATAAATTTGCTACACTAAAGTGGTCATGAATCACACAACGATTCATTAACGGCGATTTCTTCGGCAGGTGTGGAAATCGAATTTTGACATTCCTTGGCATTGTAAGCAGCGGCTCGACAATGTTTAGCAATTAATATTGAATGGAAGTGAACAACAAAAGAGGCGATTAAGCGCAGCAGCAAAAAACATGACAAAATAACACAATTGAGCCTCTACAGAAATTGCTACGTAATGTAAACTGTTCGTTAAACGTTCTTTGAAACTCATAAACTCTTCGAGTTAAGAAAATGTATAGAAACGATAGGTCAGCATTACATATTCCAAACGCTCCTTATAGCTGTAGGAAAAAAATTTCACTATTTACGTTATACATAACAATATAAAAAACTAAACTATAATTACATTTTGTGGTAATGTTGTTAAAACCCACTTTCCATCAACATTTATTGGCCAAATCTTGTCTAGCTTGCATGGAAATTGAAGGCAAAAACACTAGAGTGCCGCCTCTGACAAGAACATATGCTTGGAAAGTATATTTTCCAAGATTTTAAAAATATAAATATAAAATAAATTTAATTTGTTGCAGAACAATTAAAAAAGTTCTACCAAGTTTAAATATTTTTTTGGTACTAAAAGAAGTTGCCAGATGTTGTAATGCAGGGATGGAGATATATTTTAAGTGCATTTCTATTAAATTATTATTAATATTAATTATTCTGTGACAAAAAAGAAAAATATGACTTTGAATGACTTTATTGTCTTATTTAAAATTTTTACAATTTTAAAGTTTTTAAAATCCCAACTTATTTTAAAATTTCAAACCGTTTGGAGATTTTTAACAAAAAATTTACTTTAAACGACTTTCATCGAATTGCTTCGACTTTCTCAAGTTATGCCCGAATTCAGAAAGAAGAAAAGAAAACAATTTTTAAAATTTTGTATGAAAACTACTCAGTTTTTGTTAGTGTTTTTCATATAAAATTTTAAATATTGTTTTACATTCTTCTTTCTGAATACTGGCCTTATTTTTAACCCGAAAAGTCGTCTTATGACTTTTTAAAAGAATTACTTAAAATGTTTGCAAATTTCTTGAAAATTTTATCAGCCAAAATCTACATTAAACATTTCTTTAAGTTCTTTTCGAACTTTCCCAATTTTTACCAGAACGAATTTTAAATAAAATTAAAAAAGTTTTTTTTTTTATTCAAAAATGGAGTATCTGCAAAATTCGAAATAAATTTTACAAAACTTTAAAAATGTTTACTTTAATAGATAGAAAACTTGAGGAAGACTAAATAATATAAAAATTCGGATATGTCCTAAAAAGTTGTTAAAGTCGACTATTCTATATAAAAAAATAGAAAAATTCGAAAACATTAAGAAATACAGGCGTTTAATTGGGAAAATAAAGTCGACTTTTTATCATAAATAATTTGTGAAAAAAATCATTTTTTAATTAAAAACTCGAAAAAGTCGGATAAAATTAAATAAATTTACTTTTAAATCTACTTGAAAGTCCTTTAAATTCGACCAGTTTTTTGAAAATTTTGTACGTAGGCCTATCTGTAAACTTGAAAACTAAATATGAGGAAATGTAGGCCGGACCTCCCTCTATAGGTCCCCATATTTCGATTTTTGGCACAAAGTAAAAATTGGACCCTTATGGTCCAAAAACTAATTGAGCGATTTTGTCCAAAAACAGTTTTTTGAAAATTTTGTTCGGAGGCCAATCTGTAAACATGAAAACTAAATATGAGGAAATGTAGGCCGGACCTCCCTCTATAGGTCCCCATATTTCGAATTTTGGCACAAAGTAAAAATTGACCCTTATGGTCCAAAAACTAATTGAGTGATTTTGTCCAAAAACAGGTCTTTGAAAATTTTGTACGTAGGCCTATCTGTAAACTTGAAAACTAAATATGAGGAAATGTAGGCCGGACCTCCCTCTATAGGTCCCATATTTCGATTTTTGGCACAAAGTAAAAATTGGACCCTTATGGTCCAAAAACTAATTGAGGATTTTGTCCAAAAACAGTTTTTTGAAAATTTTGTTCGGAGGCCTATCTGTAAACATGAAAACTAAATATGAGGAAATGTAGGCCGGACCTCCCTCTATAGGTCCCCATATTTCGATTTTTGGCACAAAGTAAAAATTGGACCCTTATGGTCCAAAAACTAATTGAGTGATTTTGTCCAAAAATTTTTTGAAAATTTTGTTCGGAGGCCTATCTGTAAACATGAAAACTAAATATGAGGAAATGTAGGCCGGACCTCCCTCTATAGGTCCCCATATTTCGATTTTTGGCACAAAGTAAAAATTGGACCCTTATGGTCCAAAAACTAATTGAGTGATTTTGTCCAAAAACAGTTTTTTGAAAATTTTGTTCGGAGGCCTATCTGTAAACATGAAAACTAAATATGAGGAAATGTAGGCCGGACCTCCCTCTATAGGTCCCCATATTTCGATTTTTGGCACAAAGTAAAAATTGGACCCTTTATGGTCCAAAACTAATTGAGCGATTTTGTCCAAAACAGTTTTTTTTGAAAATTTTGTTCGGAGAGGGCACCTATCTGTAAACATGAAAACTAAATATGAGGACATGTAGGCCGGACCTCCCTCTATAGGTCCCCATATTTCGATTTTGGCACAAAGTAAAAAATTGGACCCTTATGGCCAAAAACTATTGAGCATTTTGTCCAAAAACAGTTTTTTGAAAATTTTTGGTTTCGGAGCCTATCTTTAAACATGAAAACTAAATATGAGAAATGTAGGCCGGACCTCCCTCTATAGGTCCCCATTTTCGATTTTTGGCATCAAAGTAAAAATGGGACCCTTATTGTCCAAAAACTAATTGGAGCGATTTGTCCAAAAACAGTTTTTTGAAAATTTTGTTCGGAGGCCTATCTGTAAACATGAAAACTAAATATGAGGAAATGTAGGCCGGACCTCCCTCTATAGGTCCCCATATTTCGATTTTTGGCACAAAGTAAAAATTGGACCCTTATGGTCCAAAAACTAATTGAGCGATTTTGTCCAAAAACAGTTTTTTGAAAATTTTGTTCGGAGGCCTATCTGTAAACATGAAAACTAAATATGAGGAAATGTAGGCCGGACCTCCCTCTATAGGTCCCCATATTTCGATTTTTGGCACAAAGTAAAAATTGGACCCTTATGGTCCAAAAACTAATTGAGCGATTTTGTCCAAAAACAGTTTTTTGAAAATTTTGTTCGGAGGCCTATCTGTAAACATGAAAACTAAATATGAGGAAATGTAGGCCGGACCTCCCTCTATAGGTCCCCATATTTCGATTTTTGGCACAAAGTAAAAATTGGACCCTTATGGTCCAAAAACTAATTGAGCGATTTTGTCCAAAAACAGTTTTTTGAAAATTTTGTTCGGAGGCCTATCTGTAAACATGAAAACTAAATATGAGGAAATGTAGGCCGGACCTCCCTCTATAGGTCCCCATATTTCGATTTTTGGCACAAAGTAAAAATTGGACCCTTATGGTCCAAAAACTAATTGAGCGATTTTGTCCAAAAACAGTTTTTTGAAAATTTTGTTCGGAGGCCTATCTGTAAACATGAAAACTAAATATGAGGAAATGTAGGCCGGACCTCCCTCTATAGGTCCCCATATTTCGATTTTTGGCACAAAGTAAAAATTGGACCCTTATGGTCCAAAAACTAATTGAGCGATTTTGTCCAAAAACAGTTTTTTGAAAATTTTGTTCGGAGGCCTATCTGTAAACATGAAAACTAAATATGAGGAAATGTAGGCCGGACCTCCCTCTATAGGTCCCCATATTTCGATTTTTGGCACAAAGTAAAAATTGGACCCTTATGGTCCAAAAACTAATTGAGTGATTTTGTCCAAAAACAGTTTTTTGAAAATTTTGTTCGGAGGCCTATCTGTAAACATGAAAACTAAATATGAGGAAATGTAGGCCGGACCTCCCTCTATAGGTCCCCATATTTCGATTTTTGGCACAAAGTAAAAATTGGACCCTTATGGTCCAAAAACTAATTGAGCGATTTTGTCCAAAAACAGTTTTTTGAAAATTTTGTTCGGAGGCCTATCTGTAAACATGAAAACTAAATATGAGGAAATGTAGGCCGGACCTCCCTCTATAGGTCCCCATATTTCGATTTTTGGCACAAAGTAAAAATTGGACCCTTATGGTCCAAAAACTAATTGAGCGATTTTGTCCAAAAACAGTTTTTTGAAAATTTTGTTCGGAGGCCTATCTGTAAACATGAAAACTAAATATGAGGAAATGTAGGCCGGACCTCCCTCTATAGGTCCCCATATTTCGATTTTTGGCACAAAGTAAAAATTGGACCCTTATGGTCCAAAAACTAATTGAGTGATTTTGTCCAAAAACAGTTTTTTGAAAATTTTGTTCGGAGGCCTATCTGTAAACATGAAAACTAAATATGAGGAAATGTAGGCCGGACCTCCCTCTATAGGTCCCCATATTTCGATTTTTGGCACAAAGTAAAAATTGGACCCTTATGGTCCAAAAACTAATTGAGTGATTTTGTCCAAAAACAGTTTTTTGAAAATTTTGTTCGGAGGCCTATCTGTAAACATGAAAACTAAATATGAGGAAATGTAGGCCGGACCTCCCTCTATAGGTCCCCATATTTCGATTTTTGGCACAAAGTAAAAATTGGACCTTTAAGGTCCAAAAACAAATTGAGTGATTTTGTCCAAAAACAGTTTTTTGAAAATTTTGTTCGGAGGGCTATCTGTAAACGTGAAAACTAAATATGAGGAAATGTTGGCCGGACCTCCCTCTATAGATCCAAATATTTCGATTTTTGGCACAAAGTAAAAATTGGACCCTTATGATCAAAAAATAGTTTTTTCTTATTATTTTTAACAATTGTAAGTTATTTTGAACAATAACAAAATTAAAATCAAATATTACTTTTTGGTTTTTACTTATAAATGTATTTATTTATGATTATAATTAATAATTATTAGTTTTTGTTTTAAATAATTTTATTTCACATATAAAGTTTGTTGAAAATATATGAAAAGTTTGTTAAAAGCCGAAAATCTTCTCCCATGTTCAAAAAAAGAAGAAGAGTGGATATTCAGTGTAAATTGATGTACACCACATAATTATATATGAATTTTGTACTAAATTTATGTACAATAACTTGGCAGCACTGAAAATTATGTCTGCAAAGCCGAAAACACTCAATTTTCGTCTGCACATATTTCTCAGAGAGGGTTTTTATTTATTCTCTCTGCAAAATGAGTGAAAAACAAAAAAGTTTGCCAGAAAGTTTGTTAAGTTCACGGGTACGAGTTTTGTTCATAAATAAAGATTTTGTCATATATTACATATTTGTTTAATTTCTAAAACTATGATTTATATCAAAATTTTAATAGGATCGCAGATAGCTACAACAATTTAGTCCATATTTATCCCTTAATATCATTTTTTAGTTAGATATGGAAATTCTCGACCCTTTACAAAAAATTTCAAGCCAATATCTCAATTACATTCAAAAATATGTTCATTTAAACCTGTGTCCTTTAATTTCATCTTTTTCATATTTTAGTATTAAGTATGACAGAACATACATTTGGTGTTGAATAAAATATTTGGACAATTTTTAAAAATTAT